CCTTCATCAACCCTCTGGTGAAATACCTGCTCTTCTTCTTCAACATGCTCTTCTGGGTGAGTCTTGGGGGTCGCAGGGTCACCTGGGCTGCAGGGCACCCCTCAGAGGGTTGAGTGGGCTGCCCGCGGCAGACGAGGGGGTGTCACTGGGTGCCTGGTCCAAGGCAAGCGTGGTGAGCGGCACTACCTAGTTTTCTGGGAAGAGGGCACTTTGGGGTAATTTATCCTAGGCAGGGACACCACAGTGGCGCCTTGTCTGCCAGGGGTGTTGGGGTCGGGGGCTATGCAAGAGATTCAGTAAAGACTTACGGGTATTCTCTGGGCATCGCATGTGGGTCTGTGTCAGGCCAAAGAGGTGGGTTTAGGCGGGAGGAGCGGATTTTCCTGTTGGCCCAAGGCAGACTCACTGATACATTCATGATTGGGGGATTTTTCAGGCCTGGGGGCAAGGAGGCCCTGCTGTCAAAGAAAAAAGAGGAAGGGGGGGAAACCCAGACCTTCCCTCTCTCTTACCTCAGAGAGAATGGGTTCAGGGGCTTTCATCTCTTCCTTTTCACAGGCCTCTGCTGTCCACCTCCCTCCAAAGGCTGAGAAGGGACAGGAACGGCCTCCAGGTGTGGATGTCTTGCCCAGCATTGTCCCAAATTTTGCTTCACCTTTCTCAGGACCAGGCTCCATCTCCTGGAGTTTGACCCTTTCCGGCTTCTTTAAATGCAATCCTATGTTGGGCTGGAAGGCCAGGGGTCCTTTCAGAATTTTATGTTTGGGGCTGGAAAAGTAAAAAAAAAATATTGGACTGGGGCTGCCTGGATTCTTATTTCCACTCTGCGATTAATTGTTGACTTGACTAACTGGGCAATATGTTCATCTCTGGAGGCCTTAGTAAAATCAAACCCAGCAAGATCAAGGAAAACAGAAATACTCTGCTGGAGCTGAGAATGCAGCTGGACCAGATCATGAAATGCTAGCTCAGTCCTGTTTCATGTCTAGAGAGTTCCTGAGCCCTACCGGGTTTGAGAACACAGGGAGGTCCATCCCCCATTCCCTGATTTCTCTTCCAGCACCAGTCATAACAGAGCTAATGCCCTAGGAGCCTGTTATGCTTGCCCACCTCTGCCTGAGACTAAAAGTTCAGACTTGCAGGAGGGAGGAGTCTTGGGTCTAAAATATGTTTCCTAGGAGAGGGAGCAGACTAGGCATCTAAGCCAGTTGCTGGAAGGGTTTCACCAGGGCCATGGTGTGAACAGACACAAAGTACATAAGTGCTAGCCTGTTGGAAAAAATGAGAGAAATCCCAGCTCCCTTTCAGCCATTGTACTGGGAAAAATGAAGTTTGAACTCCTAACAAATTCTCAGTTTTAGAACTGGAAGAAAAAAAATTTGGAAGACATCTTGTCCAGTACCCACCCACATTTTATATACAAGAAAGCCAAAGCACAGAGATGTTGTTTTATCTTAGGTCCAATGTCTGGTTAGTAGGCTTGATCTGGTGGTGTTTCTACTGAACCACAGTGCCTCTAGGGGAAGTCCTTGGCCCAGATGGCTGCTACTGTAGCTGGGGTATTAGCAGTGTTAGTAGTTAACTAGTCAACACGGGTTCCATGGTCTAGTTCAGCTGGAGGTTAGGGAAGAACAGCAGAAAATATCACCATCACTCTGCAAGGGCTGGGGGATGTCCTAAGGGGAACCCCCACTTAAGGGAAATTTCCAGAGAACCCTCCTACATGCTCACTGAATGTGCCAGGCCAATGACTTGCTGTCCTCAGAGTCACCACTAGCATTCCAGGGACCTCAGTCCTCATTCTAACTTCCTCTATCAGCTAAGACTTTGCATCTCCTTTGGAGCCTTCGGCACTTCACCCTTAACTGTGCTCCCCAGTGAAAACAGCTGGGTGCATCTGTTACACTTGTGTTCACGGTCATTATCTAGGACTTCCCCACCCCGCCCCAAAGCCTTTTAACAGATAAATGACTTTGGGAGGTCACAGCCAGGGAGAGAATTTGGCTCCACAGACCCATTTTTCTTGGTACAAATGCTTCATTCAAGGTCCGAGGACCTGGCTAACCAAGCTGGCATCACTCCAAATTAGAGAAGAGCCCCTTCTTGGCCCTCCTTTAGACTCTTAAGAAGTCAGAGGCTCTAGAAATAGCACACTGGAGGACAAGAGGCCCAGTTTCTTTCTGGCACCAGCTTCCTGTGTGACCCCAAGCCAATGTATCTGTCTCTCTGTCCTCAATTTTTCTCCTCTAAAGTAGAAAATTTTTCTGCCTCTGTGAACTATTTAAGATGAATACATCACTTTGGGGACTGTTTTCTTTCTTTTTTTTTTTTTAGGTAGTGCCCTTTGGTTCTTTCTTTCTTTATTTATTTTATTGAGTTATCGTCAGTTTACAATATTGTGTCAATTTCCAGTGTAGAGCACAATTTTTCAGTTATACATGAACATACATATATTCATTGTTGCATTCTTTTTCGCTATGAGCTACCACAAGATCTTGTATATATTTCCCTGTGCTATACAGTATAATCTGATTTATCTTTTGTACATGTGCCTGTCAGTATGTACAAATTTCGAGCTCCCAGTCTGTCCCTTCCCACCCCTCTCCCCTCTGGCAACCACAAGTTTGTACTCTATGTCTATGAGTCTGTTTCTGTTTTGTATTTATGGTTTTTTGGGGGTTTTTTTGTTTTTTTAGATTCCACATATGAACGATCTCATATGGTATTTT